CTGATGCGGCCCCGCTGACAGATGCACTGATGCGGCCCCGCTGACAGATGCACTGATGCGGCCCCGCTGACAGATGCACTGATGCGGCCCCGCTGACAGATGCACTGATGCGGCCCCGCTGACAGATGCACTGATGCGGCCCCGCTGACTGATGCGGCCCCGCTGACAGATGCACTGATGCGGCCCCGCTGACAGATGCACTGATGCGGCCCCGCTGACAGATGCACTGATGCGGCCCCGCTGACAGATGCACTGATGCGGCCCCGCTGACAGATGCACTGATGGGGCCCCGCTGACAGATGCACTGATGGGGCTCCGCTGACAGATGCACTGATGGGCTCCGCTGACAGATGCACTGATGGGCGGCGCTGACAGATGCACTGATGGGTCTACTAATGTGCTCCAATGACAGATGCACTGATGGCAGCACTGACAGATCTACTAATGGGCTAATCTGACAGATCCACTGGTGGCAGCACTGACAGATCTACTAATGGGCTAATCTGACAGATCCACTGGTGGCAGCACTGACAGATCTACTAATGGGATAATCTGACAGATCCACTGGTGGCACTGACAGGGACTGTTTTTATTAGGGGTGGTGTGGTGCACAGTAGTGAAAGGGTTTGAAAAACTCGCTCTTCCTAGGTTCTCCTCCTCACACAAGATCGGTGTGTGAGGAGGAGAAGATAGCAACAGTGAGTGACCGCTGTGTGTTTATATTTATGATCGGCAGGTCACAGCTGATCATGTGGTAAAAAGCCAATTTATTTGGCTCTTTAACTTCAGCAGGGAAGGCCTGTGTCCGAGGGACACAGCCTGACAACAACGGCCACACTGCATGCCACAATGCACAGGATATCATCGAACGCCCAGTCACAGCGAGAAGAGGACCGCCTAGCCATCAATCTGCTATAGGCCGGGTGGGAACATGTTAAAGTGAAAGTAAAGGCAAATCCTAACTAACTCTACACCTACTCTCACCCACATTCTAAGCCTAATCTATCTAGCCCTGTAAAGAGAACTATCGCTATACTTACCTGGTATTAAGAGTTTCCCTCTGTGTGCTGGAGACAGTCAACAACGGCTGGAAAGTGACGTCGCCCATAGAGTTACTATGGGGCTTCCGTTGTCGGCTGCCTCTTCTGCACACTCCTACATGCTGAAGCTGCCGCTGACAGCTCAGCATGGGACCTGACCGGAGCGGGCTAGATAGATTAGACTTAAAATGTTGCTGAGACGAGGTTTAGAGTTAGTTAGGATTTGCCCTTACTTCCACTTTAAACATATTTTTTATTTTTTTTTATAGGGTCTCATTTTTTTGTTTTCAACTTTATTGCTGTCACAAGGGATGAACAACATCCCTTGTGATAGCATGGGCTATGACATGTCCTCTTTATGGAGGGATCTAGTGCCTATTAGACCCCAGATATCTCCTTTGCCCTCCAAAGCAGCCGGTTAAACTCCGATCAATTTGGCTGCTTTACTAGCTGGTAAACAAAAGCCCAAAACTGAAAGTGACAAAATCCTCATCACTTCCAATTTCAGACACCATAGAGATGATCGGGGACAGTAAGTTCCTGCTACATCTCTATGATCAGACCACATGCAGTGGGCCCAGGTTCCTTGGGGTGGGGTGGGTGAGCCTGGAAACAGAGGTGCACGGCGGAGGGATGGAGGCCCCCTTTCGCCGCTTGAAAAAGTGATTGAGCAACTTTTTAGCCATTCCTATCACTTTTACTAAAATGTCCATCGCCAGATATCACCACCACTTCCCAGGGACACATATATGCTGTTCTGTATTTTGGTTTTGTGCTGCCCTAGGCAAGACTAATATCGCCCCCCCCCCCCTTCCCCATCTAAATTTGTCCTACCCCTCGCAAATAACTTGTGCAACTATGCCCACATTCACATACACCTTGTATATCTTGCCCCAGCTCCCCCACAGTGACATGCACCTTTTTAAATCCCTAGTCCTAAAATGACCACACTCACATGCACCCTGTACACCCCCCCCCCCCAGTGCCTACACTCACTATGTATATCCCCCAGTGCCCATTAACAAACAGCCTTGCATCCCCCCCCCCCCTCCCCATGCCCACACTGTTACATACCTTGTACATCCCTGCTTTCCCCTTTAGTGCCCACTCATAAACCTTGTACATCCCCCTTCTCAGTGCCTATACTGACATATTCACCTTATACACCCCTAACAAGCAGAAAAACAGGTGGGAGAGCAAGGGAAGTAGGGAAAAGAATGACAGTCTGTGCAAGTAGCCAAGCATGCATCCCCCTAGCGATGCCACTGGCCCAGTGGAGTGTGGATAAGACTGAGATGGAGCTTGGCTGTGACAGTTGTCCGGCCCAGGGGAGCCAGTGGAGCTGCTGGAAAATCCACTTGGGAACTGCTGAGTTGCCCTGCTCTGAAGACCACTCACACCCATGTGTCCTTTATCCAACACAACAAACACTTTACTCCTGTGCTAGGAAAGGATTCAGTAGACCCAATAGGAATGTTCTGGAATTTTCTGGAAAATGCACTGCTTGCTGCCCTCAACAGACCGGGGTGGTCCGAATACACTGGATACAAATGGAGAAACAGAAAAAGGTTGGCTCTGAGGAAGAGGTTGTGTCCTCGAAACGCGTTAGCCAGTTGGTCATCGAGGGTTCCATAGTATGGACTCAGATGTTGTTTGGATCATACATCTTGTTCAGTTTGACATGCCTGTGTTATGTCCATTGTGAGTATGATACCTATTTTTGTTTCTTTAATAAATTATTTTAAACGATAATGCACTAGGTCGGTGCGCCCTTTTTCTGTTTCTCCATGTGTCCTTTATGCCTGGGGGCGGCAGCTCCCAAGGCAAACGCCTTGTTTGCCTCACGGTAGATTCGCCCCTGCATATATGTGTACATGGGTCAGGAAAAAGTGAAAATGTTAATAAAGGCAAAACCTTTTTTTTTTCTCATTTTGGATAGAAAAAGGGAGGATTATAGCTCCTGTTAGGGTTTTTTTTTTTTTTTTGCCGTCTGTCCCATAGGGGAGATTTTTCTTCACTTCCTGTCCCATAACCAAAACAAGAAGTGAAAAGAAATCCCTTCAAAGTGAGGGAATCCCAGGATGTAACCTGAACTAGTGTTCCCATTTGAAGATTTTCTATTACAGTTGAGGTGTCAGCTCTTTTTACTTTCGCTAATAACCGTAAACCGGAAAGATAGCGAGGGTGCATCTCCACAACAAGGATACAGACAGCAACTGACAGGTGTACTAGTCTCTCTCCATTCTATCGAAACTAAAAAAAAAAAAAAAAAAAAAAAAAGTTTTTTGCCTTTTACTGACAATTTAAGAGGCAAAGCTGCACTATTATAACAACTGAGTGGATATACAGACCGATTGTCTTTAACCACCTCCGGCCCACCATATAGTAATATGACGGGTGCAAGGTGGTTCTCTTGTTCTGGGAGGACTTCATATGACGTCCTCCCATTCTCCACTGCTTATGCGCGGCTCAGGGAGCGCGCGGCGATCAGCGGTGCGCTGTGTCCCTCGGACACAGCGGATCACCAATCACGGAAAGAGCCGAAGATGTAAACAGGGAAATGCCGGTTATCGGCATTTCTCTCCTCTCAAGCTGTCACGCTGACAGCTCGAGAGGAGAGGAGAGCCGGTAATCTGCTTTCCGCGGAGGGGACATGTACACTGATCATCGGTGCCCTGATGATCAGTGTAGCCCCAGCAGTGCCACCTGTCAGTGTCCATCAGTGCCTTATGTCAGTGCCTCGTGCCAGTGCCACATATCAGTGCCTACCAGTGCACATCAATGCCACATATCAGTGCCCATCTGAGCTGCCTTTTAGTGCCACCCATCATTGCCTGTCAGTGCCGCCTGTCAGTGCGCATCAGAGCCAGTCAGTGCTGCCTATCAGTGCCATGTATCAGTGCTGCCTTTCAGTGCCCATCAGTGATGCCTGTCAATGCCCATCAGTGCCACCTACCAGTGCCTCCTCATCAGTGCCACCTATCAGTGCCCATCAGTGCAGCCTCATTAGCGCACATCAGTGACGGAGAAAAAAAATCCTTTATTTACATAATTTTATAACAAAAACTAAAAAAAAACATTTTTTTTCAAAATTTTCAGTGGTTTTTGGTTTGTTTAAGAAAAAATAAAAAAACCCAGAGGTGATTAAATACCACCAAAATAAAGCTCTATCTGTCATAAAAAAATGATAAAAAATTTCATATGGGTACAGTGTTGTTTGACCGCGCAATTGTCATTCAAAGTGCAACAGCGCTGAAAGCTGGAAATTGGCCTGGGCAGGAAGGGGGTATAAGTGCCCTGTAGGCTAGCGGTTAAAGAAATTATACTCTTTAACTGCTTGCACATTCAAGCAGGATCATGTACATATACGTGATCACGTTTCTTCTGAGTTGACTTTGCATATGCGTGGCCCCTGCTGACCCGCTCTGTCACTGGCTACAGCGCAATTTTGTCAGCCACTCCCGGCCAATGATTTTGGATGTGGGCCTGCTGATTGGCAGTAGCCAGTCACAGCACAGAGTCCTGTGTTTAACAGCACACAGGACTCGGTGCACAGATTAGTGATCTGGCTGTTTCTCCTCTCTGCAAAGCAGGGAGAAAAAAACAGCCAGATCTTTTAGTAAAACAAGCACATATTACATTATACTTGTTAGGCACACAGTCAACCCTGTGATTTGTCCCTTGATGTTAATGCCAACCTGTGTCGTTAGTACAGTGACAATGTACAGTATTATATTGGATCACTATCTGTGTCACTAGTGGTGTCAGTCAGTTAGTGCAACTCTCAGCGAGTATCTGATAGCGCTAGATTGGCTGCCACACTATCACAGTCCCACTATAAGTCGCTGATCACTGCCATTACCAATATATCATCATAGCTGCATAAAAATTCCAGTATATTTAACATAGTTTGTAGACGTATAACTAGTCAGGTGGTTAATAATGCTCTTTGTCCAACAGGTATAGAAAATGGAGCTGTTCTTTCATGTGCAGCTGACATTGCTGCTTCATTCCAGCATGCTGTGGCTCACCATATCATCAAGCGAACACAACGAGCTATTCTGTTCTGCAAGCAGGAAAATATTTTACCAATTAATGCATCCTTGGTGAGATGTCTGGTCATTTCTTCTCTTCTTCTTCTTCTTCTTCTTCTCTTATTTCTTAATTTGCATGTCCTTATCTTGCCAGAGAACAGTACCATCATTGACTTATATCTGCCTTGGGTGAACTGCCCCTTCTGATATCTATGCAATGATATCAGCAGCTCTGGCACACAAAAAATATCAGATATTTTTATTTATGCTAAATGCTAGTGGGAAATTCTTTACCTACAGGTTTTCACCATTATATATGTATGCTTCAATCATATTTGTTTGTCCTTTAAAGCTGTATGCCTTGATTTTTGTAGAACAGAAAATGAAGTAGCAGTGCCTAACTCCCCCCCACTTCAATGGTTAACTGCTCTTTAAGTCTAGTGGGTAGCTATAATACTTACCCTATTCATTGCTCCAGCAGGTTTCTGGTGCTCTCTTTTCTCTGTTGCTCCCAGTTGTGGGCATGCTCTCATGGTCCTCTTGTACAATGCTGGATTACTGGACCTGCATTAAACGCGATGACATTAGATTGCAGTCACCAGCTAGGGCGCTGCAGGGAAGAGGCTTTGGGCGACTGGTCGCACAGCATGGTGGAAAATTAAGGCAAGTTTTACAGCATAATCATCTACCCCTAGACTTAACAAGCATTTAGCAGTGTGAGGAGACCTCACTTCAAACAGCACAATTCTGCTCCTGGACTACAAGCCAAGCTTAAAAACACATGTAAACAGTGCAAACTAACGTACAGAAAAAAAAAATCATCTACCTGTGCTTGCGCTCAATGTGAATGCCCCATTCACATTAGACATAAGCATATGTAGGCAATATTTTATGTACATTTTGTTTGCACATTTTACACATGTTTTTAAGCTTGACTTGTAGTCCAGGAGCAAAATTGTGCAGTTTTGAGTGTGCTTAGTCTTCTCACCCAACTGCATTTTTGTAATATCCTCTTCCTCTCAATGATATCAGCCCTTTCCCTCAAGCTTTCACTGTACATCTTTATTCTTGCCCTTTTCATTTTATATATTCTTTCTTCTCCCAGGCATGGTAAAATTACTAAAACTACAAGTCTAAAACAAATTCCAGCCTTTGATCCCTCTTCTAGCTACCCTCATATTTCCTACCTTATTGCTTCTTAAGTATTGTTATTGAACCCTAAGATTTACTATCTTACCAAATGTCTGATCGACATCCTTCAGTTTTGTTTTCATTGTCTGTTCTATGGAATAGGACTATCTAAAGTTTCTGTTCAGCATCTATCAACCTCCTTTGTAGTGGCCTCCCATGATTTCACCTGGGCTGCTCTTATTCTGTGTAAACAGCCTTGGCTGTCCTGTAAATCTAAAACTTGCAAGTTTGCCTTTAAAACATGCTTCCAAGTTGGCTTAGAGTACCTCTTTATTACCCTTTTACATTATTATTTTTACCTTTTTAATTACAAACTCTTGCCCTCAATCAATGTTGAGTCCTGGCATGCTGTCTGTTTTCTCCAAATTCATCTCATTTCTGTGGGTGCAGTAGAAGGTACTGTATCTGTATGTATTTTTAGCAACATTTTTTAATTATTCTTAATAATATTGATCAATGGCTACAAATACAGGTGCCCTACACTGAGAATTCCCTCTTAGCCTAACCCCTTTTTCAAATTTTTTCTTTTTTTTTTAATCTTTAAATTCTTCAGTCATCTCCTCACTGTCTACTAATGCCACCAATGGAAACGGTGCATCAGGATCAGCTCAACCTTGGTAACTCTTGGAGGGCGTACCCATGCTCCACACTGTTGGGATGGCCTGTAATGTTGCTTCAGATATTGGATCCTGCTTGGGCGCTCACCTTGGCACTTGGTGCATGGCATGTATTTAGCTTCAGGGTGCTATACAGATCCAGAGCTGTAGTCTATCACTATAGAATCCAGACCCTAAGGATGTCTTCTGGGGTGTGCCCACTGTAACAGGCGAGGCTTAGACTTTATACAGTGTAAAGATTTCTTATTGGGCACTAAAACTCAACCACTCGGAGCTTAGTCTCAGTGTGGATGACCAGGTGTGACATCATACCACAGGTTGCACATTTTACCATCACTTTTGCTTAGAGCTGTTACTCAGGTGGTTCCTCCCCCATCCTTTCGCCATGAGGATTCACTACAGAATGGACTGCACCAGGTTTGCTCCATTTTCCTTTTGAACGTGCTTACTGTATATTTCGCACCCTACTCCATGAGTACCCCACAGGGAAATATCCTAAGGTGTAGCTATGGCAGATACTAAGTAAAAGGGAGCCATTGTAAAACCGCAGGCAAACATTTGCTCTGGCAAAGGCCCACGCAACACTCAATCTCAGAGCGGCCATGCACCCCTTGCACCAGAGCAGCAACCAGCTCTAACACTGGTCTCTACATTTGATTCTACATCTATTTCAGGCACTCAACAAGCTGCATACCTGACAAAAGCTGAATTTTCTGCATCTATGCTACAATTCCTTGGACAAATACAACCAAGTTTGCCTATGGCTCAAAAACACTATGCCTTTCTTACTACTTCCATTTCTACTCCCAAGTAGACAAGGCAGACACAGAAGAGAATAAAGAAGATATAGAGGCAGTTCAGTGCCTCTGATGTCATTCCCCGTCCTTTTGTGGTGGAGGTTGGGCGGACACATTGTTACCAGTGGCTACTCATTGGAGCTTTGGGGTATTTCATGGTTGACATATAGTAATATTATGATTCTTTCTGGGTCCCTGAAGGAGCAGTTAGGCTGCGAAATGCATTGGACCAAGTCAGCAGGAGTATACAAGCATCAATTCTGGATTGTATGCAGACCGTTTTATGATTTTTTAATGTGACTTTTCTATGTATGTTTTATGGAACTTCATTGTGCTACCTTTTGCCTCTGTATAAAGCCTTTAAAGTCCCTTGTTGTTGGGAATGGTTTATTCCTGTTGGGGCTGTGTATGGTTTATTGGGAAGTGGCATCGTACCCCCTCCCTCCATTTCCACGATTTGGTAGATCATTTTTGTCCTAATAATGGCGCTAAACTCCACTCCCATGCACAGAATAATGTGGCTAAAAGCCTGATAGCTGAAGCTGCCTGTAAAAAGGTGCTTCAAACAAATGCCTTTTCAAGAATGACTTCTGTTTAGAGAGGCACTTGACCAATTCATCATTGTCACAGGAGGGAAGGTTTTGCTGCTTCTGCTGCAGAAGAAACAAATACCCCCACCCAAAAAGGGGCCTCCGCCACCTCAAAATCAGAGCAGCTAACCGTTGTCCTCCGGCTTCAACTTCAACACCTACAGTGAAGGAAATAAGTATTTGATCCCCTGTTGATTTTGAATGTTTTCCCACTCGCAAAGAAATGATCAGTTTAAAAATCGAATGGTAGGTGTATTGTAACTCTAAGAGACACAGAATAGCAACAAACAATTCTAAAGAAATGCATGTCTAACAAATGTATGCACTGACTTGCATGTTCATGAGGGAAATAAATATTTGATCCCCTTCACAAAACATGACTAGGTACTTGGTGGCAAATCCCTTGTTGGCAATCACAGAGGTCAGACATTTCCTGTAGTTGGCCACTAGGTTTGCACACATCTCAGGAGGGATTTTGGCCCACTTCTCTTGGCAGATCCTCTCCAAGTCACTAAGGTTTGGGGCAGCACAGTGGCTAAATGGTTACCACTTCCGCCTGGCAGTACTAGGGTCATTGGTTCGAATCCCAGCCATGGCACCACCTGCCTGGAGTTTGCATGTTCTCCCTGTGCCTGTGTGGGTTTCCTCCGGGTACTCTGGTTTCCTCCCACACTCCAAAGAGATGCTGGTAGGTTAATTGGATCCTGTCTAAATTGGCCCTAGTATGTGTATGTATGAATATGAGTTAGGGACCTTAGATTGTATGCCCCTTGAGGGTTAGGGACTGATGTGATTGTTCATTATATATGTGTAAAGCGCTGCGTAAATTGACGGCGCTATATAAGTACCTGAAATAAATAAAGGTTTGGTGGCTGACATTTGGCAACTCGAACTTTCAGCTCCCTCCACAGATTTTCAATCGGAGACTGGCTAGGCCACTCCAGGACCTTTTTAATGTGCTTCTTCTTGAGCCACTCCTTTGTTGCCTTGGCCGTGTGTTTTAGGTCCTTATCATGCTGGAAACCTATCCACGACCCATTTTCAATTCCCTGGCTGAGGGAAGAAGGTTCTCACGAAGATTTGACGGCACATTGCCCTGTCTATCGTCCCTTTGATGCGGTGCAGTTGTCCTGTCCCCTTAGCAGAAAAACAACCCTAATGCAGAATGTTTCCACAATCATGTTTGACAGTTGGTATGGTGTTTTTGGGGTCATAGGCAGCATTCCTCCTCTTCCAAACACGGCGAGTTGAGTTGATGCCAAAGAGCTCTATTTTGGTCTCATCTAACCAAAACACTTTCAACCAGTCCTCCTCTGCATCATTCAGTTGTTCAGTGGCAAACTTCAGACGAGCCTGGACATGTGCTTTCTTAAGCAGAGGGACCTTGCGGTCACTGCAGGATTTCAATCCTTGTCGGCGTAGTGTGTTACCAATTGTTTTCTTGGTGACTGTGGTGCCAGCTGCCTGGAGATCATTGACAAGATCCTCACGTGTAGTTCTGGGATGATTCTACACTTATTCTCATTGACACTCCACGAGGTGAGATCTTGCATGGTGCACCAGACCTAGGGAGACTGATCGTTGTTTTGTGTTTCTTCCATTTGCAAATGATTGCACCAACTGTTGTCACCTTCTCATCAAACTATTTGGCTATAGTTTGGTAGACCCAGTCCAGCCTTGTGTAGGTCTACAGTCTTGTCCCTGACATCCTTAGACAGCTCTTTGGTCTTTACCACGGTGGAGAGTAGAGATGAGCGAATCGAACTCGGCGAAGTGGAATTCGTTTCGAATATTAGGAAAATTTCGATTCAAAATTTTTCCAAAAATGGCGGCGACATGTGCGGCGACGGAGCAGGGATCTCTGGGAAGGCGCGCAG